AGGGAGACAGGGCTGGGAGGAGAGGTGGAAGGGGAAAGCCACCAAAGAGAACTTCCTGCACAAAGAGGGCTACCTGCTGCCCAGGCAGATCACCTTGCCAGCCCAGGCCCTCTATATACGTCCAGTGGGAAGCTTCGGCCTCAGCTCTACACCTGTGCAAAGCTATTTTGGGCTCTGGGAACAACCTGGGCTGGACTGGGCTGGGCTGGATGGGAGACGAGCCTCCTGGCTTTGCCTGAATGTGGGTGAGGGGTGCCCTGAGAGCAGGGTACCCTGATGCATGAACACCAGGGTGGGGCCCAATGACTAGGGCACTCCCTGGCTGACCACAGGGCTTTCACAAAGGTTCTGGAATCAGGGGCCTGTGGCACTGGGGACCAGCCAGGGTGTGAGGGAGCGAGGGTGTTCTAGGGGCTCCAAGGTGCTTTCATATGGGTTACCCCTCCTTCCACTCACAGCAGCTCTGGGAGCACAGCGAGCCTTGGAGCCAAGTGGGTTCTCCCAGGGGGTGTTCCGTTGGCCCAGGGCATCCAGTGAAGACTGAGGACTGGAAGAGAGTCTTGCCTTCCCGTCCAGCCTCTTCCCACAGAGCATAACAGCAATCACACGGAGGCAGTTTTAGCTGGGGTCACATGCTTTGGAGGACAATGATCATGGCCCACGGGCGAACAAGAGCACAGGCACAAAGAGAGAGCAGTGGTTCATGCTGGGGAGGGTGGAGAGGGGGCTGCCACTCAGCAGCTGGCACCTGGGTCAAACCTAGCTCAAAAATAGAAGCACCTGTATCCATCTACCTTGAGATCTGGCAGTTTTGCTCCTACAACATGGAGAACTTCTCACCAGGGTCATGAAGAGCCAGGACAAGGATGATGGGGCTGGGGTGAGGGCGTGGGCCAGAAGTTTGGGCGTCCATCTACCTGAGCAAGGTAGGGGAAGAAGGGGAGGGCGTTGGAATGGGGAAGCAGAACTGTGGGGGTCTGACAGGCGGTACTTGAGTGGGGAAGGAGGGAGCCTCAGGCATTACCTAGATCAAAACACGAGGACTCCAAACAAGAGTGCCACGCTGAGAACACAGAAGGGTACACAGTCACACACTGGAATGATGGTCTGCTGGGGGCTGGGAGTGGGATGCAGTAAGAAAAGGGAATAAATAATAACAATGGAGGTGCTCACAGGAGACAGTGGTGTGCCATTAATTTGCTTCTGTTGAGGGGCCAGAAAGGCTCCCAGGACCCACGCCCACGTGATCCTACACAGGCCAGTGCCCAGTGTCAGCAGCAAAGGCCTGTGGGGCTCAGGGTGGGGCTGGAGCCATGTCTGCCTTTCAGGAAGGAGCTCAGTGCGCCAACGGAGCACACACTGGAGAACCCACCTGGCTCCAGGGCTTGCTGCGCTCCCAGCAAGCACCTCTAGGAAAGTACCTTGAAGCCCCAGAACACCCTTGCTTGGCCTCAAAGGCATGCAGAGGCCCCTCTGGCTCTGACACTGTGTGGTTTTCAGCTCGCTGCTGAGTGTCTGCATAGGGGGGTCCTCTTCCCCCTCAGAATGGGGATACAAGTAGACATTCTGTGGGCACTGAGCTCACCCCCATGGCCAGCAGCCTGCACTCTCTCTGGAAAGTTTTTCTGCCCTGCACAAGCTACTCAGAGAATGGTTGGTCGGGTGCTACTTGGCGTGTCCTGTAGGGCAGCTCCCCTGATCTCTCTGGGAAGGCCTTGGGACTCAGCCATTCTCCAGGTGTGTCCTAAGGGCTGTGAGTCTGTATACCAAGAAGCTCGGCCTGGGAGGCCCGGAGAGCTGGGCACATGGCCAAAAGCTAAGACAAGACTGCAGTTGGCACAGCTACCAACTGACCATAAGTGGAGGGGTTGGGGCCCTTGGAGGGAAGCTCATTTTCTGTGGGGTCCATATAGCCCTCTAGAGCTAGTCTGCACCCCTCACTTTGCTTGTCCAGAATGTTGTGGGGTTTGGGGGCATGCTGTGGGCATTGACAATAAATTTCATGAGAGTTTTAGTGTGCATGGGCAAAAACTCCAAGTTGGTGAATGTTGGGCTGAGGTCTGCAGGGTTTGCTGAGATCTGGACTCCCTACTACAGCATGGATGAACCCCGCGGTACTGCTCCAAACAGAGCTGGGGGTAGAGGTGCTGCTCAGAGACCTGGTCAATCAGTTACTCCCACCACCTTGGTTTTACAAARAAAAACCTAGGCCTAGAGCCGAGAAGGGTTTATCCAAGGACCCCCTGAAAAATTACCCATGAGCTGAGGCAGCTTAGCCCCTGACCGCTTAAGACACACTCAATAGGCTACCGGTGAGCTGTGGTCGCCTTTGACCTCTGCATCCCCAGACCTCTGCAGAGTGAGGTGGCTAAAGAGAACAGTGGACAGCCTCCAAGCAAGTACCTGGCCAGGCACTGGGCTTAGGGAGATGCTACCAGCACACTGTATGAGCCCCAGATGTCTGTCATTTCTTATTTTAAAAGAATATTTTAAGTAATAATTATCAGAATTCTTCTTACATCTCTGCATTATTTTGTCACTTACCAAGTTCTTATATATCTCTTTTCCTCCTACAACCTCCCTTTGAGCCCATGAAGAGCCCCAGCCCCTGCTTATTAGCTAAGTCTAGAAATGGGTACGATGTGAACTTGCTTGTCCAAGATGGCTCAGCTAGTGAGAACAGAGGGTGGATTCAGAGATGGGTGCCTGTCTCAGGAGTGTGGCTCTCTCCACTACACCACACTGCCTGCTTGGAGATGTCTGTCCTGCCAAATCCAGACTTAGCCCAATTTCTGGGCCTCCCAAACTAAGATCAGCCAGTAAGAGTTTAAAATTAGCAAAGGTTTGGCTTTTATTCAAAGCAGGGACCAAGCCCCAGCTGCCCCTGCACCTGGTGTGCACTAGGTCGGGAGCCCACTGCACCAACATGTTATTCTGTGGCTTGAGGAAATGCTGTTGATGGGGAGGCTGTCATCTGCCTGGCTTGACACACAAAAATAAACCTCAACAACCAGCCCACAAGCTTTCCAAAGGCCATTATCACTTGTGGAGTGGACCTTGKGTACACACAAAAGATGACAGTATCTGCAAGATGAAAGCAGGCTCTGGAGCTGCTATTATTAGATTACTTTTATTTAGAGAAACAGGGCATCCATTGGGAAAGTTGAGGACTCAGAGCCTTCTTGACCTAGATTATGTTTTCTTATGTCAGCCACAGCCAATCACAAGCTGAAAAAAGGTCAGCACTACTACTTGCCTTGATTGCAGAGGAGTGTAGTTAAAAGTGTGTGGCATTAGATTAATATTCATTATAAAAACACAAAATATAGATGAAGACTAAAAGTAACTGAATTTTAGTACCCAGAAATATTCTCTTTTCAGACTTTTGTTCTTTTCATGAAAACCACTCAATAGTGAAAGTGTTCATGAAACAAATTAAGTACAGCACAATTAATTACGTTTGCATTACACTGGTTACAACAGACCCCATGCAGGAACCAGCACTCCAAGATTTGTCAAATGTGGCTTTGCTGGGTTTCCTGTGGTGTGTGATTTTGTCATTCACCACAGGTGGTACAGCCACTGGGGATCTCAAAAGTAAGTGGGAGATGCTGTTGGGCTTCTGACCATTTTTAACAATGAGTTTATTAATTTTCTTTGCAATAACAAGAGATACTCATAGCTTTAGAAATACTTTAATTATTGAAATTACTGCAGAAAAATCCTTGATTATTGTTACTCCAAAATTTTCTAGCCTTTAATCCACTTTCCTCCCGGCACTGAAAGTTTTTTTTCTGTTGTTGTTTTTTTAATCGTGATATTTGAAACACATGGCTTTTTAGGAGTTCAACTAATGAAATACAGTAGAACAGGCTTGACCTCTCGTCTCTTTTACACATACTGAGTTTTATGTGTGTGCATATCTGTTATGTATACAAACTCATACAGATATTTTAAAAATTACATAGATTTATGTAATTTCCAAAATAAAGGCTCATGTCATATAAATCTTATATTTTCCATCTATTTTTACAGTAAGCATTTCCTGATGCATTAAATATTCCTTCAAATATGATTTTTAATAAAGTCTTCCATTATGTGACCACAGCATACATTATCTATTTCGTCATTCAATATTTTAAGTGGCTTCCAGGCTTTTTCATGTTGTGTGTGACTCTGGCCCTGTCTCTTACATTTTCTTACAGTCAATTTCAGAATCAGAACTACCTTCCTGAGGTTTTCATGAGTATAATCAACAGCATATATAAATCCCCCTCATACAGTGCTTTGCTCACAGCAGGCGCTCAATAACTGGTAGCTATAAATAGGAAATCAAGTAACCACTGACTGTGCCACTGCAGAGGGCTGGGGAGGCCATGCTCCCCGCATCCACTCAGGGCTCAATGGAACGGGGAAGGTGGGGCTGGGAAGCTAGAGGCAGGGGTGGGGGTGAGGGTGGTCCTGGGGGTGGGGGTGGGGTTGCTCCCAGGAGCAGACAGACCCATCAGTACCTAGAATGAAATCATTCTGCATTTTGAACCGAACAGACACCTACCTCCCTGATGCCCTCAGACACGCCCTCTCTTTGGTCTTAGAGACCCGCTGTGAGGCTGCAACACCTAATCAGGTGAAGAGGGGACCTGGATGATATTGATCGCACTCCTCCTTCAGAAGCTTCATGTGGCTGAATACTGTTTGGAGAACAAACAACAGGAACCACCGTGTTCTCAAAGATTATTTATTAGCTATTCTTGTCCATGATGCAAAAAAATTAAAATGTAAACAAAATTAAAATAAGATGAAAATCCTACAATATTTCTTGCCCAAGGACATCAGCTCAAGTACAAAATGGGACCCCAGGGCCTTCATGTCTGCAGCTTACCTACAGTAGAAGCCCTCACAAGAAGAAAGACAACCACACTGTAATGTCTGCTCAGGTACAGGGTCTGGTGTGGCATGACAGAAAAGTACAGTGATTTTTTTTTTTTTTTAAACAGAGACTAGAATAATTAGAAGCCTATGAGCAACACCCCTTCAGAGCCCACTCAGGTGCACCTGGGAACTGCTGGGCTATTCTTTGGAATGAGTCTTCCCAGGCCTGACGATTGCACTGCATGTCCTTGGGGTGGCCAGTCTCTGTTCTTTGATAGTGGATTTGACTTCTTAGTACAATCAGGTCTCCTGGAGTTGGTTTGGATGGATAGGCGACAATGGAATTCTGGGATGTTATTGGGGAATAAAGCCTTAAATGGTACAGCAAGGAAACTTTTTTTGTGGGCCCCAGCTGGCCCTGGAGGCCTTCCTCAGAAAGGTGGCAATCTTGCAGCCTGTGCCATGCCACGTGAGTGTCTTGAGGGAGCGCACAGCTCCTGAGGTCAGGACATGGAAGGCCAGGCCTCCTTCGGAAGCTTTAGCTCTGGACTGCTTGTTAAAACCCTGGCTCATTCATCCAGAGCTCAGTGGGAACCACAGTGGTATTGTTTATTCTTTCTAATAAAATAGAAGCCTGCCAATTTAAATTTATATTTGGTCCAAGAAAGGCAGTTTCTCAAAGGATTCTGGCTCCTTGAGGACCTGGGCACCATTTTCTTTCCTTCCCTCTCTTCATATGCTGTTCCCAGCCTACAGGAAGATGTCTATGTGTGCATGCTTCTTGATGCCTGGTCCCCTGAAGGAAGAAGGTCCTGAGCACCAGCAATGCAAAGGCCAGTCTTCATTGGGTGGCCTCAGGACAGTTACCAGCTAGGTGAGAGATCTGCAATACCATGATCCTGGAGGATGTCTCTGCAGAGTCTTTCCAGGGGGTGATACTTCCCTGGGGCTTGCCCCAGAGCAGAAGCAGGCAGTGCAAATGCACCTAGTCGTCTGGGATGGGAGTGTTGCAGTTCCCGTGGTAGATCTTGACGTGGCCCTCGCAGCGGAAGTAAGCGTCAAAGACGTCGCTGTAGCCATGGTCCCTCCACCAGGTGCACAGCTGCCGGTTCCAGGTACAGTCCAGCACGTGGAAGAGCTCGGGGTGCTCCATGCCGATCATGGTAAAGAAGTCCTGGTCCCCGAGGTGGCCGCGGAAGTGGTACTTGCTGGCCAGCTGCTGCACGTGCGTGGGCTCCAGCAGGCGGCTGTAGAGCGGGGACTGGCGCATGGCCTCCAGGCTCAGCAGCATCACCCCGCTGTTGAAGCCAGGGAGCCCATCGGGGGGAGGGCCCCCCACCCTGGTCGTGGGGTTCTCATGGCGGAACTGCCAGAATGTGTGCCTGTGAAGGGGAAAGGAGAGACTTAGCCCCATGGAGGTGAGCTGCCTGTTAGCCCTGCTGTCTGTCTCGCGGCATTCGAGACTCAAAATCTACTTCCCACCACCAATGAGTGCAGAGCAAGTCTGACCCCAGGTCCCCGACTCTAAGCCTCATGCTGTTCCACCATCTATGCCACCTCAGGATGATGATGTTGGCGTCATCATCTTCATTGTCCTCGCCATACACCTGTACAGATTTAGCACGTGCTAGGCACTATACTGCATTAGCTTATTTGCTCCCCACAACAACTCTAAGAGATGAGGGCTCTATGAGATGACACATCACTTCATAGTTGAAGAAAATGAGGCACAGAGAGGTTATGTAACTTTCCCAAAGTCACACAGCTAGGAAATAGCAGAATTAGGGGCAGGAGAGGGCTGGGGAGCTGAGCCCACGCCACAGAGCGGAGGCCAAGCAGCACAGCCCTGCCTTGGATGAAGGAGCAGAGCTGGAGGCCTGCTGTGGGCAGCGAGGGGCAGGGCTGGACCTGGGTCCTCAGAGTAGGGAATGTTTCAAAGCCTCACCCACCTGCTCCCCAGTCTGCAAATGCCACCCCTCTGCCTCTTGCAGAGATACTGACCCCAACCAATGGCAGGACAGGATCTGGGTGGTGACATGTAAGGCCTGGTGGAAATCAAACAGAGCCCAGCCCAGGGCACCTGCTGCAGGGCCATTCTCCAGATCCAGAGCACTTGTCGTGTTGGGGAAGAGACAAGCCTTCCTTGTGGCCTGGCATATCACAAAGGGAGCCCAGCGTTTGATCCTGGTGAGGGAAAAGCTTTCCCTCAGGACACTCACAGGCGGAACACTCAGTCCATTGTTTGAGCTCAGCCATAATCAGTCTGTGAGTGGAGCAGGGCGCTGGCGCCTGCCTGCTGATAACAGCCGCCCTGGCAAAAATAAGCTGCTAGAGCACACTGAGATGCCATGGTCCTTCCAGCCACAGGAGCCTGCGGTGGCGGGATCCCGGTGTTGGGATGCAGTCTGGCAACTGCTTGTTCATTTTGCCATACTTCCTCCAAGCGGTTAATCTCAAGCTAGGATTCTCCCAGGCAGATCTAAGCCACCGCAGCATGGCAGAGGAGGGACCCTCCACCCAGGGTGCACCCCCACCAACTCGCCCACTCACCTTTCAAGGGGTCGGGACAGGTGCATCTACCAGAGAGGAAGCAGGGAAGCAAGAAGCGGGTCCCGYCCTCCTTCCTTCCGCCCACCCTACCCTCTCCTCTCTTCCCTCCCAGAGGACCCAGAAGAGGGCAGAGCTGGTCCAGCTCCAGGGCCAGGCACAGCAGGGCCTCAGGAAAGACAAAGTGACTGACAAGGGGCAAAGGAAAGTAGGTGTGGGTGAGATAGCACAGCCGCTAGTGGCACGTGGAGCCAGGGAGCAGGACGAGGACATGGTCTTACCACGGCAGAGCCTGTGGCTTCACTGAGCGCTCCATCTCCCACAGAGAGGGTACTAAGGGCCTTCAGCCTTTCACCAAGCTGGGGGCAGGCAGGCTGCCTATAGCCCTGGGCACCTGCCAACCTCTAGCCAAGACCGGCAGCCTCCTCACACCTTCCCTGCTGGCAGAAGGAGTGATTAAAGGGTGACCTGCTGGGCTCAGGAGGGGAGCCAGAGGCTGAGGGAGGAGGACAGAACATCCTCTGAGTGGAGGCCACAACCCTGGTGGCTCTCTGGGAACATAAAGCCCAGTGTGGCCATACAGGCAGCACCAAGAGGCATTTTATAACAAAGGGCCAGGCCTGGGGCACCAGCACATTATGAACTATCAGGAGCAAAGGAGGGAAAGGAAATTGGAAATCCAAATTTCCCAGCGTGTTTGCCGAAGCAGAAACAGCCTGAAAAGGAACTGATGATCCTCGAAATGATGGTTCACAGTGTTCCAACCATCCTAAGCGAACCACAAGAACACAGGGCATGGAGCACTCTGGGGAATGGCAGGTGCTCTGTCCTTTATGCCAGCTGCTTCTCCTGCCTGAGCCACACCGGCTCAGGCTCGGGAGAACGACATGATATGGGGATGGGCAAGGGCCAGAGCTCATGCAAGGAGTGCTGCAGTTACGTCGCGGGGCTGTGGGCGCTGGCCTTGCAAGGCATTGCCACGGCTCCTCCCATCAGAGTCAGAGGGCAGCAAAACTCGCTGACATTCTTCCCAAACACTGCTGTCTGCTCTGAACAGAGAGAGAAGAGAGGTCCTCGGTGTGTCTGAGCCAGAGATTCTAATCTCCAAGGTCCCCTTATTTCTGACTGCCTCAGAACCCACAGGCTAATGTTCTAAGGAGCGGCACTTGGATTTCAATCTCATTTCTGAATTTGGCTGGCACAGCCTGAGGCTAGGGGCACTAGGGATGAGACCATCAGGGGATACAGCTATCACTGGCACTTCACGGCTCAGGGGGCAGATCCAAGAGCTGCTCCAAGGCAGGTCACAGGGGCCTGGGTCTGACCACATATATTCATGGGCACTGCCAGTGGCACACTCTGAGGCTGCAGGAAACCTCTGTATGAGTGTGGGTACCTGGTTCTGAATCCTGGAGCTGCCAGGATTTCTTTGTTTAACTTCCCATGCCCAGACCTAGCCACTTTGCCCTAATAGTGTAAACTCTGTGGCTTGTTCCCATCCTCCACGGTCACCTGAAGAGCCACAACACAAGGGACAAGATTCCTCCCCCTCCTTGGAAATCATCTTAACTAATAATCATTTWAAAAGACCATTAAGACTAATGAACCAGCCTTCATGAAGAAAACCCATCTTTATGGAAAGGGTATTTGAAATAATTTTGAAAAGCAAGTCACTTCCTCCTTTGAATCTTTCCCTGATGATCACAGTCACTGCTATCAGGGCTCCCACCAGAGGCCCTGGGCAGAGAATCTAACACCCATGATCCCCAGGAAAGAGCACAGGTTTTCCACCACCCTCAGTCACAGGCCTCTTGCCTCTGACTTTTCATGACTTAATCCTCATGTGGTCTTTCTTGGACCCTGAGGCTCAAGAGTACCCCCACTGTCACTTCCAAAAAGGCAGAAGCAAGAATGGGAACACATGCTGAGCCCAAACCGTCTGCCTGAAAGTCCACAGGAAGGTTCTAGAAGGCTGTGCTGACTCAGGCTGGCTTCAGACTATAGGCAAAGAAGACTCGATGTTAGGCCTGAGATGCACAAGAGCCACACGAAATGTGGCACRGTGCCTTGCTGGGGCTTTCCCCCCAGGGGTTTTCCAGCCCTGAGTGCAGGTCTCTAGGGAGCAGGAGGTTGGACCTCCCCTGGAGGAAGCTTGCTGCCTGCATGCTATCTAATCAGGAAAGCCTGGAAACTGGGAACCTTATTTTCCCTGTGCCCACACATCTCTTCCAGGCCCAATTAGCTCTGTTTACCTTGGAAGGCCCCCATTTTCCAGTCCTTAAGATGAAAGGCCGGAAGTAAAAGGTGATGCTCAGTGGCTGCCCCATGTTCCATCTACCTCGGGTCCTGTGACCTGGGCATACTGGTTCAGATGCTCTCAGGATGCCCTTCCAGCTGGCTAGGTGACAGAGGCTAATTCCTGGGTCCTCCTGAGTAAAGGCTAAGTCAACCTTAGGTATGGACCCTTCCCTGTGATGAAGAAACCTGCTCTGTGATGTCAACCAGGAGAGAACATGGACTTCCTAAAGCTGTCCATTTCCCTCGGGCAAGGAGTCACAGCTGACCTGTGTGAGGATATATTGATAGTGGGGCCTGAAGCAGACTTAGGTGTCCTATTCTGCTGTTCAGAGGGTAAGAAATATTCCTGAAGTCACTGGGCTATTCAGTGATAAGACTCAAGGGACCCCTCACAGAAGCACAATCTACCTGAGCGTGGAGAAGCCAAGAGAAGCCTGGTTCACATTCCCATTTAACAAATAAGGAAATTTAGGTTAAATGGCCCTGCCAATAGTTCATTTATGGACAAACATAAAGGATTTGCCTATAGGGACCCCATATTCCCAGGCAAACCCTTTATGCTTGTCCACATTTCCTATACTCAGAAAAGGCAACTGTAACCACCAACACCAACACTATCAACACCACCACCACCACCACTACCACCACCACCACCATCTCCACCATCACCATCAACAACACCAACACCACTACCATAACCACTACCACCACCACCACCACCACCACCACCACTCCTTGCTCTCAAGACAGGCCCCATGGCAAGTGAGGCAGCGCTCAGAAGGCTTTCCCACCCTGCAGGATGGCCCCCTCCACCTCACACATTCCCAGCTGGAAGGAGTGCGTGCCCAAATGACAGAGCTGGCATGGGGTGGCAGAAGGAAAGGACAGCTGGTGGGGCACGTGCCTGCCCTTATCTGTAGAACCTTGGAAGAGACATATGGGTGGCAAGCACCGGTTCTGTTTGCAGTCCAGCAACTGAGTTTCCAAACTACAAAATCCCTCACAGAAAGACAGAGGGGTCAGCAAGCCCTCTGCTTCCCAGGCTGAAGGGCCCCTGGGTGGAGCTGGGGCCAGGAGCTTGGTGTTAAAACCAGGAGGTCTGGCAGGAGAAGAAAGAAAGTCTGGGGGACAGAGACACAACAGACAAGCTGCAGGGGTTCATAAGCTTCCTCTAGGCCCTCCCTACCCCTCTCACCCCTCAAGAAGGACAGCCTCTATTCCAGCCTCCACAGGGCCTCTCTCTGCACTGGAGATTCTCTGCCTCTCTCTGCACTACAAGACTCCCTGTTCTGCACACTCCTGGCATCTCTGTGCCACCTGCCCAGCCTGGGAATGGGGATTCAGGGAAGAGACAGAACCTGGAGAAAGTCTGAGGGAGAGGGTGAGTGCTGTCTGCTGATTGACAGGATTAACATCCATCCACACACAGGATCAGAACCGACTACGGTCAGCCCAGGGGTTGGAAGGCAATTGTATGCATTCCCAAAATCTGTGTCTTGGAACTTTGTCCCATCAGGGCCTTCGGCTGGGGGAGGGA